GATGGACAACTCCTGACATTTGATCATAGAATATATAAAGAGCATTTGGTTGTAACTCGTTTACCTGAGATGATGATGCTGCTGCTGTTTTCTCATCTGGGGGGAATCGAACTGTCATGTTCAGAACAACTTTATCCGCCTGGATCTGGTGCGACTCTTTCCTCAGCACATTTTTCTGGTCTGTGAGTGGAGAAGAGAAGAAGAAGAGAAGAAACAGAAGAAGAGGGATTCATTGTTATGACGGAGGATGTCACATCACTTTTTTTATTTCTTTAGTTTGAGTCCAGGCCTTAGACGGAGCCCACCTTGCTCTGTGCGGAAGCGCAGCACCGCCGTCTTGCTGCCATTCACGTAGTCGACCTCGCAGTCTCCTCCGCAGGACTTCTTGCTGTTGAAGTACTTCAGCAGCTTGATYYTTWTTTTCGGGATGTTGTTTTCTTCCAGCTCGACGAGCAGAGGGTAAGAATACGCGTCAGCCATGGCTGCGGACCAGGCTCCTTCTGCCGTCTCGCCCGTATTACTTTTAGTTTTGTTTCTTAGGGGAAAAAACCCTGACGAGCAGGTCTCTTTACTTTCGCTTTCTGCCTCCCCCTCGGTACTTTCCAGGTCTGAGTAGGTGAGTGTGTTTTACTCTGTAAACTTCATCTCTTAACGTCGACATTGAACCAACGTTAACGGACAGGTGCGTGATCCGTCAGGTCGAGATTTTTAAAAAAATGGTTCGTGTAAGAGACGTAAAAATAATGAAACAACCATGCACCGATGAATGTCCACCAGTTAGTTCAGTTGCTCAACTTTAACCAACTTCAACTTGTATAAACGCTGCGAGTGTASCAGAGGGTGAATGTGGACAGTAGTGAGACAACAGTAAGATTATCTCAGGGTGATGAAAGTGGTTTAACTTTAAACCGTTTTGTTTTCTATCTGGATCGTTTTTAAACTTGACTCTGTTTTTCTTTTTCTCAGAATATAGCATAACTTTAATGTTTGCTGAAGTACAATTGATCTATGTCTCCCTCTAGTGGAGTGAAAGAAAACAGCACTTGTCCACGTTTTCCCTACTAGATACTAAAGTCACGCAACATTACGAATATCTCCTGGGGGAAATAGCTTTTCATTTCGAACAATGTTTTTCCCACTTTTTTTCTGTTTTCAATCAAGTAAATGTAACTTTCATTTATGATACAGCACATTAGTGGCCTCTGTCTCCCTCTACTGGAGTGATAGAAAGCAGCAATTGTTTGTAGTTGCTGGAAATGTACTATGGGATCCCCCAGTTCAGGAAGTACAAAATACTGAATATATTGTACTTGTACTATTCTTGATTTTTGAATTGATTTTAATTCAAATTAAATCATGCTCATCATAATCAGGACTCCCAGACACTAGATATCATCTATATCAGTGGGACCTTGTGAGGAAAGTAAAGTAAAATAATATAATCAGATATTTTTTGAGAAATGTCTAACCCACTTTTTCCACCATTAAAAGCTGCAGTCATTTCAGTTTCAGTCTATTGTCTACATCGAGGACAAATTCTACATTTGTGCATCAGAGTCCATAATATATCTCAAATATACTGAATGCTCAAAATTAAATTAAAGAAGGAAAACATTACTCCAGAAAATGAAATTGAGAAATTAAGTMTTTTATTKATGTTTGGAAAATGTTGCATTGCAGCTACAGTCGTCTGCCAGTAGGAGGTGTTGCAGCCCTCCTCAGTACACCTACTTCCTAAGTCTTTGGTAGAAGTACAAATAAATCGACATAATGTACTCAGTGTAGGAGTTACACATCAACAATCCTACTTGAGTAAAAGTGAGTTATTACGTGCTTTTAAACATACTTATTGATACTGTCCAATCTGAATAGATCGATGGACCAATTTCCCCATTGTTATTGATTACTTATACGAATAAAGAAAAACAATGTGAACATACAGTATAACTCAATGCATTGCAAAAAATATAGTGGAGTAGAAATTACATATATTTGCTGATACATGTAGTAGAGTAAAAATTAAAACTAGGCAAAAATAAATCTACTTATGTTAAGTGCAGAATATATTCATGAAAAATGATTACAGTAATGGAGTCATTGTTCTCCACTACATCCTAGCACTCTTTATGTATAAGTATAAATAAATATATATAAAGAGAGATATGGAAATAATATGCAAAACAGAACATTATGGGGAATATAAGTATGTATAAGTATAGTGAAAGGATGATTACTAGAGATGATCGAAAGTACGCGTGACAATGCCAAGTATCAAATATATTTGCCACTGATGTCTTTGTATGATTTACTCACACATACTTACTTTTTTTCATGGCTCTATTTAGGAACCATGGCCAGTAAGTTGGATATCGCTCTTCAAGGGCCTTCAGTTAACATTGTGAGGCAGTGTGGACCTGCCCTGAGCGACATCCTCCAGAGCAAATTCGGATGCACGGCCATCTATGCGCATGTGGCTTCTGAAAGTGTTCCGACCTTTGTGCAGCAGCAGAAAACCTTTGTTCCAGAGAAGAAGTTTGGTGGCGTGCTGCGTGGAGGCATCAAGTTATCTGTGTGGAAGGACGATCTCGCCAATGTTCGCGTGGATGCAGTCGTGAATGCTGCAAACATTAGGCTTCAACACTATGGCGGCCTCGCTCAAGTTCTGTCCCGCGTGGGTGGTCAGCAGATCCAAAAGGAAAGTGATGACTACATCAGACGGATGGGGGAACTGAAAACAGGAGATGCAATTGTCTGTGGTGCTGGATTACTACCATGTAAGAAGATCATTCATGCTGTGGGCCCTTGCTTACCATTACATCCAACACAGTCTGAAGTTAATCAGGCTAATCAGCTGTTGAAGAGGACCATCACAAGCATTCTGGACAGGGTTAAAGAAAAAAACCTGAAGAACGTCGCCATTCCTGCTATAAGCTCGGGACTGTTCAACTTCCCCCTGCCAGTCTGTGCGAACACCATCGTGTCAACTGTGAAAGAGTACTATGACAAGAACTCTTACGGACATCTTCCTGAGGAGATCCTCCTTGTCAACAACGATGACCCTTCGGTGAATGAAATGGAGAGGGCCTGTTGTGAGATATTTTCCCCCAAACTGTACAGCAAGGTAGCAGGAGCAGGAGCAGGAGCTGGAGCAGGAGCTGCCAAAAACTCCACTTCTACGGTCCAGATTGGAGCTGTCCAACTGACACTGAAGTGGGGTAAAATTGAGGAACAGGAGGTATGAATCTGAAATCTGTCTTCATTGTTTGATCATGATTCGATCATGATCAGACCAGAATAGTCATGTGATACATGCAACTGGAAGACAGACAAATATTTGTAATGAGAAAAATTTACAAATTCTTTCTTGATTTGCCAAGGAGGGTATTTTCTAATCTGTGTTTTTTGGGGTATTTTCATTCACCTTGTTTATTGTTGTTGGATCCCTTCAGACAGATGTCATCGTAAACACTGCATCAGCAGACAGAGACCTGGGATACGGTGTCATCTCCAAAGCTTTATTGAAGAAAGCAGGTCATGGATTGCAACAGGAGCTTTGCAGAAACAAGAAAAACGGAAGTGTGATCGTAACAAAAGGCTACTCCCTGCAATGTAAAGAGGTGTTTCACACTTTTTGCAGTGCAACACGGGCGGTAGGTCGTACGATAAGTAAAAAAAGAAAATATTCAATCGTCATGTGTAATATTAATTCTAAATCTAAAAGTACAAATGATGTCATTTAGACTAAAGTTTTCACATTGAAAAAATATCCTGCACAATTTGGAAGAGATCATCTCTCTGTGGTATATCCAGAGAGCACATAGTCTAAGTAGCATTAAAAACAGCTCGCTAAAAGGGTGATATCAAAACAATAGCTGAACTGAGAGATAAATATATGTTCTGGTGAGCAGGAAAATATTAATATACTGCATATAAACTTTTAAGATTCTTCTGTAATATTTGTCTGTCTCTTTGTTCATTAATTACAGGTCCTTTTCAAGTCAGTCCTGGACTGCCTATATATCGCAGTCTCAAATAATCACAGGTCGATTTCCTTCCCCGCAATCGGCACTGGAGGCCTCGGCTTTAGTAAAACAGAAGTTGCCCAGATCATGTCAGCTGCAGTGGAGGACTTTGCCAAGAAGTCCCCCCAAGCCTTGGAAGTTCACTTTGTCATATTTCCATTGGACAAAGACACATATAAGGTTGTATTGCAAAAAATGCTTTCCTGATATTAGAACAATATTACTGCGTGTATGTGTGTCCCTGAAGGCGGCTTGAATAGAGACGCCTTGACAGTAATGGTGATAGAAAGATGACTTGATGACTTTGTCTTTCCAGGCTTTTGAGGAAGCGATGAGATCTCTCCCTCAAAAAGCATCGAAACCTGGCTTTACACAGGGTAACAACACCATATTTATATTAACACTACCTGCACAAAAAGGTGACATCACAAGTATTCATGTATTTTGCCGAGAGTAATAGAAGAAGAAATGTACTTCCCATATTTGCAGTAATTAAAGTCATACAAAGATTTGCTTCTGTGGGGTTTTTCTTTTCACTAGATTGATAAATTGACTTTGTTCTTGAATAAGACTGGGGTTACGCTAGTGTAGGACAGCAAATGTAAAAATCATCCGTACAGTGAGGATGCATGTTTGATTAATCCTATTTCTGTATCACTAAAAAAGCAGCCGATCCTGAATTGTGGCAGTGATTGTTACCTGTATGTCTTCTCCATCAGAGTTGGAGCATAGAGATAACCTCCCGGACGGCAAACCTGCCGCTCCGCAGATCAGCCTGCATGGCAGCTCTGAGTCGACTTTCGAGGCTGAACAATGGCTCCGCGGCCTTTTCAAATCCTCTGACACCGTCACCATCCGTAACAACTTCATTCAGCACTTTGGCGAGCAGGAACATCTAAAGCTGGCCCATTTGTCGAGCCAAAAGACCATCGACATCGAGGAGTCCTTTGACAAAGGTCATGCAGACATAACAGTGTACGGGGATTCATGTGAGGATATTGTCGTGGCAGCCTTGCAGGTGGAGGCCATGCTCTGTAACATCCAGAGGGAATTTGTCCGAGAGGAAGAGCGCGCCATGCTCCCATTCTCCACCGAGAAGGTGACCTTTGAAAGAACGCCAGTTGATAATTTCAATGATACGTTCTCAAAAAAATCGTCTGTTCTCAAAAAGGAGGGGCTGCACATGTTGAAGGTACAGTATGTATTACTGTCTCTGCTGGAAGTGCCTCATATCTTATGTCTTCTTGTTCACCACTGCTTGACTCAGGTAGATTTTATTGTATCTAGTTGGAGAGAGTGGCGAACCCGACGCTGAAGATGATGTTTGAAGAGAAGAAAAAACAGCTACAATGCTTCACTCCTCAAACCATGTTTCAGTGCATACCTGCACAGTTCTGCGAGATGGTCAGCCATGTTGGATTCCATGCAGAGTACGCACCACCTGCAGGTATGACGCATTTGACTCTGTAACCCAATTTGAATTGCCTTTTAGGTAAATGACGCTGAGTGGAACTATGCAGAACATCAAATGTAGAGAAGAAAGGATATAAATTAAGACAAAAGCCCTGTTCAGACCTCTTATTAACATCTGTCCTGAGGGACCAGATCACAAGTGCACAGCTCAGAGTGCTTGTGCTCACACCTGGCAAATCATAAAGTCTTTTGTGTCAACACGCGTGTCTGCGAGCGAGGGAGAACGAGCGGACTGACTGAATAAAGGTCATTCCATGGTGATCAGTGTGATTAAAGTAGACTTTGTGGCTGTGGCTACAAACATCCACATATGGACACTGAGAAGTGTTACAGTATGTTTAAACTGTAGCAGGTCAGAGGACGTCAGCTGGTGGCCCAGGATGCATTTGCGTTCACACAACTAAAAGATTGTTGCCACATACATCTCAGACCATCAACAAATGCAGTTTGAGTGATGGCATCTCTGAATGCTTTTTAGTTCAATCAGACCTGTACCTAGCGCTGACCACTTGTAATCAGATCTCTCAGGATGGACGGTAGAAGCAGGTCTGAATGTGGTCATAGATTATAACCAGTTTTTTGTGTTCCTCTGTAAACAGACCCAGCTTATGGAGAGGGTATCTACTTTGCTGGCACCGCGAGGAAAGCCATGGAAGTGTGGAAGAATCACAATGAGAAGTACGTGTACTTGGTGGAGGCCGAAGTGCTGACAGGAAACTCCACCCCTGGCAGACCAGGTCTCATTCTACCAGTTATGGGGACAAACTCCCAAATGATCAGCAGTGTGAGTGGAGGACCTGACATCTCTGTCATATTCAGTGGTTACCAGGCTCTGCCCAAGTACATCCTGACCTGTGTGGTGGGCTAAAGAACCACTTCTCCACTCTTTCCTCAGATGTACTGTGGGCTGTGATACTATTACACATTTAAGAATCATTCCAGTGTTAATCTAGATCTGAAGTACTCTCTTAACGAATGTTAACACTCTGAGAAAATAATTCGGTTCGCACTTCTCTTTGAAACTATATAAACAAGACCAGTGCCACAATATCACAGAGGAATTACAGGTTTGTCAATGTTGAAGCTGAACTGCAGCTTGAAAGTTTGAAATTTGAGTGTTTCATTCTTTCCAGTTGAAGTTTGTATCTTTTTGTGGGAATTGCATGTATTCTTCACAGCATCAGTTATATTACTATATAGCACAATCATCTGTAAAACAATCACTGACTCTGATTTAAAAATGCACTGTGTTATGGCAGAAATATTGAACTTAAATCATCTCGTCATTTTTCTTTAGTGATAACTCATTGTACCATATATACAAAAATATTAGTGAACACACAAAGTGAACATATCCAAGCAATTGTAATTCATGTACAACAACTTCCTTACTTACTATCAATAAGCAGTAATTAGGAGGTTATTAAGGGAAAACTGTTAATTAATGGAGTAGTTACAGAATAAGGTCATTAAAAATAAGGCATTAATAAGTGCTTTATAATGACTAATAAAGAGCCAATATGCCTCTAATATCCATGTGTATAAGGAATGTGTTAATGGTTGATATGTGTTCCCTAATGTAAAGTGTTACCATGATTATATACTGACATAGATCTTATTCCAATTCGATTTGAGAAACACTCTAACATCAAGTGTAAAGGGAAGTAGTTTGTTGTCTTATTACAAACAACAAACAAAATTGTAACCTAATTGTAAAATGCTCACGGACTAATGGTGGTGACTTTCAAAAATCAGGAAGAAGAAAATCAACAATATTTGGATGGACCCTGAGGGGGAGATGTAATGTGCCCGACAGTGATTTCAAAATTAAACAAGATTTAAAAACATTTTACTCGTCCTCTTTGCTTATTTTGAAGATGGTTTGTTTTCACCACTTCACAGATCAGGGATAACACTGCTTGTTTTAACACAAATCAAGGCTTCACAGTTTGGCTTACAAATAATTTACATTTTTATTAAAGGGTCATTTGATTAAGGCCAACAACCTATTCAGCTGTATGGATATAATGAAATAAACACAATTTACAGTTTACAAACATGTAGCAGAGCTGTAAATAAAATGCAATACACACTTAACATAAAGCCTTGTACAAAAGACATGAAATTACATCTCATATTCTTAATGATACAGTAACAGAAATCAGTATCGAGCATAAAAGCTCCCCTCTGACTTTGGAAATAGTTTGACGCAAAAATAAATTAACGATCCATTTATCTTTTACTGGAGCTTTAAGCTGGTGACATGTCAAAGTCAACTTTATTGTCAATTCTGCCGTATGTACAGGACATAGACGGGAATGAAATGCCGTATCTTTCTGATCCCTGGTGTAAACATAAGTACGCAAAAACAGAACATAAAAGTACACAACATATTAAGTACTATTAATATTAACTCATGTCATGGAGACCCTAACAGTGGAGCAGAGCTAGAATTAAGTTATTTCTTTATTATTATTGATCAAAATCCAAAACTATGCAAGGTATTTCCACCAGTCCTTAATGAATAGTGAATCTCTGTTTGTAAAATGTAAACAAACATTTATAGTACACTGTAAAAATGTCAAACCTTAGTTTGAAACCTAAAAGTTGAGTTTAATCTCTGTCTAACACAACATTTGGCCTTTACATTAACAAAGAGACAAATGATTTGACCGCAGAATTCCACACATCTCTAAGAATGTTACGTATATAATTCTGGCAATAATGTGACGTCTGAATGATTGTCTTTTGACACAATTACAGCCATTAGATTGCACACTACTACAAAACATCACTTGGCTGAACCAAACAAAAAGAGATCATTGATCGGCTCAACGTAGAACGAAACTAAATATCACTCCTGGACTGTGCACACTGGATTGACGCTACATTCAAGAAATATTCCTGTCCACTGATACTTAACTCTACTGTGCAATAATGAAAAATACAAGAAAAGTGGGCATGAAGCACAGTGAGAGCAGGTTGAGTCTGGGGGTCACAGGATTCAGGTGTCTTTGTGTTTCCAACTAAATGACAACAGGGGCCTGTAGTAAGAGGTGAGTTCAACATATCCAGGATATGTTTTTGTTATCCAGCTTAATTTAAGCTAACATCAGCCTGATATCCTGAACTATGACGCTGGTTATCAACAGTCTCAGTTAAGCCTGAGTTTACATATCTGGCTACAAGCGTGATCATGTCACTGAAGCAGATTCAGTAATTAAGAGTGACATTGTCAGAGACATGACTGAAGTACCTGATGTGATATGAGAGGAAACACTAAGTATCTGTTGGTAGAATCGGTTACAGCTGCCTCTAAAACAGACACTCAACAAAGTGAGATGTAAAGGATGACCTCATGACTAGAAAATAACAGAAACTGTAGATATACTTTAAAGATTGAAACTAATAAGAAACTGTAATTAAGCAAAGAAATTTTATTAAGGTTATTACGTCTGGTGATTAACAAACTATTATGAAGATGTGAGATGAGCTCAGTCTGACTGAAATGTTCATTTATCAAGAAAAATAATGAACAATGTCTCATTTTTAATCTTTAGTTTTTATTTCTCCTTTTGTTTTCTGCTCTGACACAGTCAGGAATTATGTTGGAGATAAGAAGATCTTTGTTCAATTCAAATGAAGCAATAATAGTTTGATTCATTCATATATTGTGATAAACTCTCTTTGTTTGTTAGCAGTTCTGTTTTAAAACCACACACTAGAGTCTAGAACAGAAACACTTTTTCACTCATCTTCTATGAAGTCTACTGACATCTATTATTTCTCAGCTCTTTTGCCCCTGTGAGGACACAGTAGAGCGAAGTGAACCAGCTTTGTAGTACTGAAAACTCTGACTTCAATAAATAATCTCTACTACAGATCCTGTTTCGTAGTACAGGCCCCCGATGGAGTCTGAGGTTCACTGGGTCAAGTGTGTGTGTTTCCTACAAAATGACAACTGTAAACGACCAGAGTAAATCCCTTTTGTGATTGAAATGTCTGCATCTTCTAAATCTGCCCACACATTGCCCTGTTTATAACTGCCACCAGATAATTAACATCCTACCAATATGGCTAAAATACCCTCTGCATCGCAGTCATCAAAACAGAGGAGCACAAACTTCTCTCAGCTGGTCCCCGACTCCAACAGCTTAAGTGACAATCCTCACGCCCCCCCCCTTATTGTCACACATACAAACCAGACCTGGCCTTCGCCCAAAATGCAGACGCACACACTGTCACTCCGTGCACTCCGCTATCTCTGTGCCGTCCACAAGCAGCGTGTGAATGATCCCGTCTCTTCTCTTGCCGCTGCTCACGGCCTTCACACAGCAGTTATGGTCCCCGAGTGTGAAATGCGTCTCTGTGCCATCGTCCACAAACTCGCCCTGCAGGCAGCAGTCACACACGGGGACAAAGACAAGCAGGTCAGTTTAATGTCATCGGCTCCTGAGCTGCTTTAGAAACAGATAACTGCAGAGGCACAGACAGTTTCTTCCCATAAAGGATGTACAGTTACATCAGTTACAAGGAGTATGGATTACAGCAGGAGTTATGGGCCAACCATCATATGGAGACAGGAATTTACAGATGAGGACTTTTGATTTATCTGATGACTTCTTAAATGAGGTTGTATGTCCCTTTTCAAAACGTTCTAACTGGTGTTATACTTACTGCAGTTTCAATATTTTGTCCATTGCACCAAACGTCCATAGTGTCTTTCTCTAAAGGAAAGGAAACGCACTGAATCAATGGAACATCCAACTGTTGGACAACAAAAGTATATGATGTGACTGCACCTTGTTTAATGAGTTATATTTGTGTGTGTGTGTGTGCGCTGCCAGATGTCGTTGTTAGGTTAGACAATTAAGATGCATTTTCTTCAGCTTGTGAAAGTCATATATGACGTGGATAGCGCTGAAATGTTAATTTGAATATTGTAGGCTCTATTTTGACATGTTACAATTTACCTCTTGGGGACATAGTGTAACTATGMACAACTGTACTCCACGTGACCACGACTAACTGCCCTCAGACTTCATGTGTGAGCCAGCAACTGCTGACCACACCTTCATATTTTCAGCCAGCTTGGTGAATTATCAAGATCGTTTTACTGCTCAGATTTAGAAATCCTTACTGACTGCACCCTGTTGTGTTGTGCAGGTTGGTTTGCCTCCTGTAAAACAGTAAGCACTATAATTAGAAGAGGGATTAACCTGCCCAGACGACAGAGGCGGCTGAAGATGGCGTGGGGCTTAAAGTGGTTAAAGAGCTTAGCCTCGGCTCTGTCATAATATTAGTAGGAAGTCATGAGGGGGCAGAGATCAAACAATGCTAAATTAGAATCCAATGTCTATTCTGATTGATTACATGAATAAACCAAGAGATTCATGACATTTTCAAATGGGTTGACTATCACACCACATGGCTTTTTGCAATGGTCTTGATCAGAGAACCATGGAACGATTGCAGTCTCTTCAAAGCTCAGATCTCTGCTTTTTAACTACAACTAAGAGATATGATCACATCACACCTGTTTTATCAGTTTTACATTGGCCTCCTTTTTCTAATTAAGTTTTTAAATGTATGGATTACTTATAAGGCTCTTCATGGCCTGGATTAAGGCAATATCTGTGATCTTTTAAATCACTGTTTATATCTGCTGTCACTTCCTGAATCTAGGCTGAAAACTATTGGACAGAGCTTTTGCCGTCAGGGCCCCACGACTATGGACTGAATTGCATGAGGAAATACAGACTGTGACGGTGTATTCTTCTAAATCTCGGCTAAAATTATACTTGTTCAGAAGGTATATTCCTGAATTTACTTTGGGTGCCAGGCTATTTTTGACTTTAATCTCTATTATTATTTCTACAATTATTATTAATGTACTTATATATTTAAATCAATTGTTTGCTTGTTGTGCAGCACTTTGTATTTTGTTTTGAAAATCATTACCGCTCAGTATAGAAAATGTGTCTTGCCTTTATGAAAACAACAGACACACATCATATTAATACGGTGATGAGAAAAGCAGGTGTTAACACTCACCCAGGACCACCCTGCAGTCAGTGCCATCCAGGTTGAGCACCCAGGTGCTGGTGACCTTTGACCTGTTCTCCATGTACTTCTTCAAGCTCTTGCCGTTGATCTCCAGCGTGTACTCGTAGGCGAACCCGCTGACCGCATCGATGTTGATGGTGGCTTTGGTGTCCGATTTTCCCACACTGAATGTCTCCTTGCCCACCAGCTTGAACATCCAGTCCCGTCTCAGGATCTCCTGCGCATGAGGCACAATATAAGAATCAGCAATTCATAAACAAGGCAGATTTCGTGATATATGGGAGAAATGTAATCGAGACATGGAAACACTTGTAGATTCATGTCAAGCTGATACTATAATAAAATGTGTAATGTCTACGTTAATTAATCCCAATACACCAAAGTGTCCCCAGCTTTATTTTAATTTATCTCACTTGATGTTAATGGAGAGTCATCCTCTACTATGCAAATGGTCTGTATAGTATGCTGCAATGTTTTCTGGCGTTTTTAACATTTGATTATCAACAGACTTTGTGGAGGGACACTGTGAATAATGGAGGAGGTCAGGTCCTCCTGGTCTGGTCTCACTTTAAGATCACGGTGCATACCTGTCCATCAACGTAGATGACCCTCTTCCCGGTGGTCGTGCCGTGTTCGAACTCTATCCTGTGGACTCCGTCGCTCAGCGCCACCTCCCACACACCAGCGAGATCACTGGACATCCTGACCTCATAAGACTGCTGGGACACGAACCGCACCAGTGAACGATCAGGCTCATGAAGCCCTGGCTCATCATCACAGAGAAGAGCGACTAAACAATGAGTGTCCACGGGTACACGCTGCTGCAGGACAACGGTCACAGCACCGGGCAATGTTAAAACATCCACATTTACTTCACTGGTGGAAGAAACGTGGCTAAAGACAACAAGTCAGTAAGGTGGCGCTGTTTCTTACGTTACAACTTCTGGTGTCAGGGATTCACTTTCAAAGTAAAAGCTGGGCGTGCTTGAACAACATCAACAATCAAGCGTTACTGAAAAATAGTTTATTTTAGCAAATCACAAATGAATGTCACAAATGTTCAACAGTGTAAATTAACACCTTACAGAAACAATGAGGTTTTCGTGACAGACAAAATACTTGTACGTATAATCTTACAAGTAGTATCACGTTCCAACCTTATATACAGTCTATGGTTCCAACACTGTTTCAAGACGTAGGCCTAATTGCACTTGAGCAACAGAACAGACATTTTATTTTGAAAAGAACGGGAGCATTGCTACACCCGTCGTGCAACATGCTATGTACCTTCACAGTAGCTCTCGCTGCTAACGTTAGCCTCTCTGCTAATAGAGGATAGAATCGTAAAGTCTGGCTCCGGATCTCCTCCACCACTGCGCACCGGGGTTACCTGAACGGTCCTGGAGCAGGTCTCTCTGGGTCTGTGGTCGATGGATGAGGAGAGGGCGACTTCAGCTCAATTTACTCACAGCTAATGTTAGCCACTGTTAGCTCAGATAACGCAGACAGTCAACAGACGAGCTGTGGCTACGCCGTTACCATAGCGACGTGAAAATCCGCCTACGTACAGACTGAGCCGCGCCCACCAGAGGAAGTGCACTTAGCCTTTTGTTTAGTTTTGTTGAAAGTATATTTTTGGGTCTTTCTGGTCTTTCTGTGACAGGACAGAGGGTCCGGGCTGAAAGGGGGCAGAGGGCAGAGGGAGGGAGACCCAGCAAAGCCGAAATCGAACCTGGGCCAATGATTCAGGAGTTTGAGTAACGGGGTTAGTGTTAGAGTAAGGAAAGATTCATGGCACCTGAACTGGCCCAATGGCAGGTCTGCAGGTCTGATGAGACCAGAGACCAGGTCTGAGACCAGAGACCAGCAGAGACCAGGTCTGAGACCAGCAGAGACCAGGTCTGAGACCAGAGACCAGGTCTGGACGGACACACTAACAGGCTGCAGGGCAAAGAAGCTGTTCACCTCAACGCCATTTTACCCAGACTCCCAGAAACCACTTAATTCGATTTTCAGGTTTTATACATATATACTTTTTTAAACATCTACCTAAATATTGGCAAAATTGACACTTACTTTATGTTTGTTAGTTTAATAACATTATATATATATATATATATATATATGCTGTAAAAATATCTGTAATAATGATAATAATCACAACAATTGTGACAAACAATAAAAACAAGGAAGATGAAGTAAAATATATGTTGAATTATATATACATCTATGTATAGACATACATGTAAGACTAAAAGTAAAGTAAAAGAAAAAATAAAGATACAGATAATAAAAGCCATAGACATCATATGTGAGCTTTTTATCATTTGATAATTATTATCATTTGATCAAACACAAAGTCAAGTCAAATTTATTCATATAGCACATTTCATAAAACGACCGTAAACTCAATGTGCCTAAAATAAAATAAAACAAAAAACACAGGAAAGATCATACGTGACAAGATTGCAAGATACATAAAAGACAAGATAAAAACCTAGATAAGATAATGATAAAAACATAATTAAAAGAAATAAAATAATCAGACATTAGAAAAAGTATAGGTATAATTATAACAATTTTAAATAATAATGACAGTGTTATTCCACAGTGTTAAGGAAAGAGAAAATTTCACCCAAACATCTAATAGGTTTTTCCTTGACCCATACCAAATCCTGGTATGGTAATCCATCAGGCAGTTCGGATGTCATCTTTCTTACAATCAATAAAACAAACGGGTGAAAACACAACCCCTTGGCAGAGTTAATATTAGGCCGTTAACCAGCTACAATATTCTTATACCACATTTATATACTACTACACTTGGAAGAATGTCTTATGATAGGCATTCTTGTATTTGGGAGCATGAGATTAGTGATTGCAATCCCAGTAAAAGTATGTCTTAAGGGTGACTTAAAGATATCACTGCTGACCTGATCTCCTCAGTCAGGTCATTGCAGAGCCCCTGGGCCCTGATTGCAAAAGCCTTAAACGGACAAAATACCTGCCTTGGGATCACAAAGAGCATGTTGGGGCATATGGTAGTAAAAGGTCAGAGCTATAGCTTGGACAGAGGCCATGGAGAGCCTTAAAAGTCATCAGTAAAATCTTAAAGATCTATTCTAAAACAGACTGGGAGCCAGTGTAGGGTGATGTAGATCTTTTAGTTCTGGTTCAAAGCCTGGCAGCTGAGGTGAGACAAGGGAAAAGGGACAGAGGGTACAATCACTGGAGGCAATGAGTGGGGTTCAGTTAAAGAATACCAGGAAATAGCTGGCAGCCACCAAATGTTCACATTTTATCTCTAGCTCAGGACATTCCAGAGGCAATTAGATGAGGTATTCGGACCAAGCTGCAAGAACTGTTGTTGCCTTTTTTTTTGTTAATACCATAACCACGACATGCCTGACCCTAACCCTTAAGCTAACCTTAACCATTGACCCAAAAATGTGCTTTTTCCCAGTTCGGGACACAGCTTTTGTTTCCACACGGACAATCTGTCCCCAATTAACTGGGATTTAGTCCCCAAACGTAGCTTATTACAGACAGACACACACACACATGAAACAGACACAAAGACACCAATGTTCAGAAACACACAGACATGGAGAACCTGCTGAAACCCCCTCATTTCAATGGAATTACACTTATTCACATTTATCCATGTTCACATGGCAAAACAGCATTAGATCTCATGCAGAGCTTATTTGATGATCTTCTGAATTATTTACCAAACATCCACTTCAGGAGATCTCATCCTAACCTTTATTTAATTTTACAACAATCTACCAAGTGCCAGAAGACCAGTGTTCTTATTATAATAATACATCGACAACACAACTTGATTGTACAGTGTGCCACAATTTAATCCTTTGTGTCTTTTTTCTGCCTCTTTTGTTTGTATTTTGAAAAGAGGACTAAACTAAATATGATTAAAACGTACAAACTTTTACCAGGGGGGATACACAGGGGTCGATCTGACTGTCTGTACTGTACAATGCTTCTGAATCCCTCATAATGTGACTGCCTTAGATTTGGCTTCTAAATGTATTCATATTTCTGACTATAATCATGGCAACATAAATGTACACGATTTTCAAAAGGAGTTTAATTTTATTTGTTAAATTTTGAATTGATTTCTACTCCAACAACATCAACTTTTTTTTTGTACAATAACATTATCATCAAGTATTTGTCCAATAGGGGACAGCAGCATTCTTGATATCTGTGAGAGGACCTTTTGTGGGACATCCTGGAGTAAGAATGGAAAAACAAAAGCCTGAAAAATGTTCTGATCAATAAGAGTTTTGATTGATTGATTGATTTTTGCTGTAACATAAATGTGCTTGATTTGAATATATTTTTATTTTTACAATATCAGACAACATCTTTTAACCATAGGCCAACCATGCTAAAGGCAGTTTTTTTAAGAGTGAATCTTGAGCAATGACACAGATACGCTGAGGCGATTATAAAATGATCATCACCTCCACATATGAGGTTAAGTTTAGAGGTTTAGGATTCTTTTATCCATTTTTTTATGTAGATGGTAACTTTCCTTAAATTGGTTCAGGCTGCCCGATAAATTATTTCTATATATACATTACAGTTCATTCAGCTGTCTACTCCAAGAAAAACTTTCTTACTGACCCTGGTTTCTGACATATTAGGCAAAGATTCCACATTCTCACACTTACTGATCCATGAATCATATCAACCTGAACAACCAAAATAGAAGCAAACTTATCTACACTTAAGAACAGCGTGCAACTCTTCTGTACAGAGCCTGCTATCTTACTTTCGTTAAATCGCCATATCCCTGAAGCATAATTCAAGAGAGGAGAGACACAAGCATCATAAATTTGTGAGTAAGTAAAATACCTCAGATCTTTACATATTTTAAACTTGTTGGCAACAGACCCCGGTGCTCTCCCAGCTGCATCTGCCAAGAATTTAACCCGTCTTCATGGGCCATAAATTAATCAAGAAAAGATCCAAAATATTTATAGATTTAGATTTAGATTCCAGTGTTGCACTTCCAAAAGTAAAAAGAAATCCTACTACTTGGAATATTTTCTCTCCTGAAATGAATAATAAAAAACAGAGATTAATACTAATAGCAACAAAGAATGGAGTCTGACTGGAACTTGTATTTGTGTTTTTCAGATTTATTTTTTCCCAGTTTGTGATTATTGATTATGGATTTGTGTCTTCATAGACAGAGTGTGTAGGATTGACACAAACAAGGGAGCAGGAATGTCAGCACCTCCCACCACAGACGTTAAACTGCTCAGCTGACATCACACCACAAAGGCTCCCTCTCTAGTGAATCCTGCTGATCCCACACCACCCTTCTACCTGCTCTCAGCACCCATCTAAAAGGAAACTTTTCCCAATATAACTCAGCCACGTCCATTTAAAGACTGTTGTCTTTCCCCATCTGTCCCACCACAGACGGATCTAATCAGCACTCGGACATTCCTTGTCCCTCAGCCATTCCATGTGCTCCAATTAACCAACACAATAAAATATTGGAATAGCACAGCCACACAGGCAAACTAGCCAACCTTGGTTGTATCTGGAGGAAAGCAAAGTACGTCATTGGTGGTTAAACTTGGGAAACACTGAAAATAGTAATAAACTCCAGGGTCCGAGGGTGTTTGTGTTCCTCTCTGTGGAAGCATGTTGTTGCACAGGACTTGGATAAGAAGAGTAGACTACAAGGCCTCTCTTTATTCAATCAAACACTCAGTGCATGTTTC